CCCCACCCACTTCCTTCCCCCTCCCGCCCCCATCAGCACCAGGGCCATACATCGAAGAAGGCCTTCTCATCCACGGTCTTGGGGGCGCCCATGGTGGGGGTTCCAGGAGTGACGGACTCCACTTCGGCCAGGTCGATGACCCCTTTGCACTCGGTGTCCACCCGGTGATCATAGTAGCGCAGCTGGGCAGAGAAAAATGGCTGACTGGCTGGTTCTGGGGGGCCCCCTCCCACCAGGGCTGGCTGCCCCCCACTACCCTTCCCCCCTTGCCTGGTGCTTCGTCTTGTCCAACACGAACCATCGGGCCTTCCAAGGCTTCATGAAGGCGCCCTTCTTGTAGAGGGTGCCCTCGTAGGACCTGTGCCAACAGAGGGCAGGCAGAGCCCAAGGAGGATCAGTGTTGGGGGCAGAGGGCTGTGCTAGTCTGCCCCGTGGCCCATCCTGGCCCCCAGAGCAGGCTCCCCGTGTGGGGCCACTGCACGGCTGAGGCCCTGGAGGGATGGGGGACCCTATGGACGTGCCAGGGGTGCTGCCAGCCTAGCCTTACAGAAGGAGCCAGGGATAGGGCCAGAGAGCCTTGGAAGTGGGACCAGTCTAGGCCCTCCCAGGGGTCCTGCGGGGAGGTAAAGTAGGGTGTGAACGTCCCTTAGGATAGTGTCCAAAGCAGACTAGGCCCGCAGGCCTCGTGCCATCCTGGAGCCGTTTCTCCTTAGAGTCCTCAACTCAGAGGGAAACAAAAGGTCAGCCAACGGCATGGCTGGAGGCTGGGATGTGGGCGGGAGCCCCTGGGACCTCAGAGGGCCTGACTTCCAGCTGGTCTTAAGAGGCTGAGCTCCCGGCAGAGGGGGCCCTTGTCCTGCCCAGGCCTCCCCTCCACACCCACCTGTTCTCACTCTCGGCAGTCTGAAACTGGCTGTACAACGTGCTGGTACTTCGGCGGGCGGCCTGCCGGCCACTGGAGGGCGTGGAGCTGCTGCTCTGGTCACTGTCGAGGCTGAGGCTAAGTGTGGAGCCCACGGGCCCCTCCTGCAAGTAAACCCCGAGCGAGCGCCGGTGATGGGACACGCTGGACATCAGCAGGGAGCTGGGTGTGCTCTGGGGGCAGGAGAAAGAGCAGGTCTCAGGGGAGCGGCCACCACACTCCCCTCGCCGCCCGCTCCCCACCCCCACTCCTGTGCCCCTGCCCATACCCGCCCATCCTGTCGGGCCTCACTGCGCTGGGCAGCCTTCACTCGGTCCCACGTGTCCTTCCAGCGCTCCGAAGGCCGGCCCAGCTCTGCCTCCAGTCGCTGCAGCTCCTGGGAAGAGAGGTCTTAGTTGGGGGGTTCTGTAGAAAAGCTCAGGGCCAGGAGGGGTCCAAGGAACAATGGATGGCAGAGAGAGCCGAGACCAGGGTCAGGGCCCCTCTCACTCCCATCGTTAGGATGACCGTTGGGAGCCCAGGCCTCCATCCATGCCCTCTCTGCAGCTGGTGCTGCCCTGGAGGGCCGGATGAAGCCGACTGACTGTGAGGTGGGTGCAAACTCCCATGATCCTCCTCTCTGGGCTGAAAGCCCCACCTGAGACCCTTCTCAGAGGTGCTCACACCCCACCGTGACATCATCTCAGATGCTGCCTGGGCTGCAGACAGGCCTGTCTGACCTCGAGCAGCACCTCAGGTTATACCCTTGGAGCCCTGGGCATCCTTCCTGCTAATGTGGGAGTGTGTATGAGGTGTGTGTGCATGATGTGGGGTGTGTGCATGTGTGCATGTAGCATGTATGGGGC